GAAGAGATATAAGGATTAGCGACATGAGAACCTAGTTTTTGTATACTTTCTTGTTGTTTTACACAACATTTACACAGATTAGTACAATATCCACATTTAGAGTTGAGCGAACACGAACTGTAAAGTTCGGGACTGTACCGATCATTAAGTTTTTTGGACCCCGAACACGGACATATCACTGTATGTTGGGGTTGGAGTTCGGTGTTCGGCGATTTAATGGCGCATTTTCAAAGGCTGCAGGGCAGCCAATCAACAAGCGTTTGACTTGTGTGCCCTTAGAAGCCATCACAGCCATGCCTACTAATGGCATGGCTGTGATTGGCCAGTGCAGCATGTGACCAAGCCTCTATATATAAGCTGGAGTCGCATGAGCTCTTATTAGTGTAGGTAGAGGATGTTGCCGCTGTGAGGGACAGCTTAGGAAAGAATTCTGCAAACTAGTACATTAGTGGGGTGTACTTCATATTTGAGAGTCAAATAGAAGCTTCAAATGCCGCAGTTACTTAGGAGTTTAAAAAGCTATTTTTTGGGTGCTAAACTGCTAACTAGTATTTTAGTGGGGTTCACTTCATATCTGAGAGTCAAATAGAAGCATCTAATAGTGTGCTTACAGCGCAGTGGTAAAAATTCTAATTGTTTTGCTGCTAATTTGCTAAATAGTACATTTTGGGGCCTGCTCTTCATATCTAAGAGTCAAATCGAAGCGTATAATAGTGTGCTTACAGCGCAGTGGTAAACATTTTTAGTTTCTGGGTGCTAATCTGCTAAATAGTACATTTTGTGGCCTGCTCTTCATATCTGAGAGTCAAATCGAAGCATCTAATAGTGTGCTTACAGCGCAGTTGTAAAAATTCTAATTGTTTTGCTGCTAATCTGCGAAATAGTACATTTGCGGCCTGCAGTGCACTTCATATCTGAGAGTCAAATCGAAGCGTCTAATAGTGTGCTTACAGCGCAATGGTAAACATTCTTATTTTCTGGGTGCTAATCTGCTAAATAGTACATTTGCGGCTTGCAGTGTACTTCATTTCTGAGTCAAATAGAAGCGTCAAATAGTGCGCTTCCTGTGCAGTTGCGAACATTCAAATTGTTTTGCTGCTAATCTGCTGCTTACATTGGAGTTTTAAAAAAAGTAAATTTATTTTTTTATTTTTTTGGTGCTAAATAGTATATTTGGGGTGTTCATATCTGAGAGTCAAATCGAAGCGTAACTTTGATTCGAATTTACTACATCGGTCACTTGTAATATTGTTTCACACCTACAACACTTGTTACACAGATCTAAGTGATAGAAAACAGATTGATATTTTCTACACTAGAAACTACCAGATAACAAGCTGCTATATGTAAACCAGTTATCAATAGCTTACAACAATATTGTAATTCTGGGGCAATACCCTCACAAGTCAAACTGAGAGGTCAGTTTATAGGGAAAACTGTTGTCTGGATACAATTCTAAACCAATTTCCATATGTCCTTTGCAGACTTTACAAGCTGTAAAAACAGGTGCCAACTGCTATGGCTTTCTGCAGTGTGCATACCGGCAAGGATGGCAGGGTTGAGGAGTGGGTGGAAGATGATATGGAGGATGATGAGGTCCTAGACCCCATATGAAATCAAGGTCATGCGAGTGACGTGTGCAGTTTGGAGGAAGAGGCGCTGGTCGCACAGAGGCACCAGCACAGCATAAGAGGGAGCAGGGTGCAAAAGCGGAGCGGCAGTCCCCTAGCGCTCGTCGGCATGTGTTATCTTTAGAATTCCTACAGTTATCCAAGTAACAGTTGAGTGATAAAAAGAACCAGAACAGATTTAACGAGCCATTCGCAGTTTCGCAGTCCGGTGACCGGGACCCAGACACTGTCTGGGCGGCGGTCGGACGACCAGGACCCAGTATGCCTGATGTAGAAGTTAGGAGTCACAGTGTGGAATGGATTAGCAGGGTATAAACTATGTACACATTAGCAGAGGCTTGTGAAGGCCTTTTTCTCCATGCATTAGGAGTAGAGCATTTCTCCATGCATCAGGACTGCAAAAAATGCACCGCAGGCCACAAATATATATAACAGTGTTGGCTACCTCCTCCTCCACCGCCGCTTCCACCTACAACGCCACGGTCACAGTCTCCTCGACCTATTGGTCACTTAGTATAAACTATGTACACAATAGCAGAGGCTTGTGAAGGCCTTTTCTCCATGCATCAGGAGTTGAGCTCAGTTTGAACAATGAAAGAGAATACCCTACACTCCAACCCTCTCTCAAATGGGTAATTCTGTTGATCCTCCTGACAGCCATGCTTTAGATTTTGATTTATGTTCTTCCAAAGCTAAAATCAAAGATTCCATCTAGTGCTATTTTATGGCTCAGCTGTATTTTTAATTTTTATGTTATTGTAAGTGATTTCCCTATCCACATTTGTTTGCGTGGCACTTGTCCTACTCTTATCCCCATTTACTTACTTTTGCAGCTCTCTAGCCCTTTCCAGGAGTTTTTTAGAAGCATTTCTGTGGCCAAAAGTTCGGGTCAAGTTCAAGCCCTAATCTGGACTTTTTTTTAAAGTTTGGCCAAACCCGCCGGACCCGAACATCCAAGTGTCCGCTCAACTCTAGTGGTGACTGAAGCCTCAATCTGAGACATTCAACATGTTGAATTGGGGGCATATAAAGGGGCTAATGGAATATGTGCATGTGTTTTCCTTTTGCTCCAATTTCTCTCATTAATTGTATTATGTAAATTCTCCTTCTATATCTTTCATTTCCTATTTTCAGTTTTTTTTAAAAATATATATTCACTCCCCAATATAATTATTTTTATGAACTGATGTATAGACACAACTCTCTGACTGAAGCACATCAGCAAGGTCTTCCTATATTTGTACTGACAGTGTCATCATTGATACCCAACTCACATTAAAGTGATAAAATGTACCAGCCTGATATAGATGCAGTGCTGCAAATGTATCTATCGCATACCAAGGATGATGGTGCTGTTGGTGGAACCTTGGTATTATAAAGATCTACTCAATAAAGAGAGAATTGCAGTGAATTGTGTTGGAAATTTCAAACATTAGGTCGAAATAGTGCAGTTGAATGGGAGAATGTTTCCAACTCTGGTACTTTGGCCTTAAGTTTAAAATTACAATCTCAATTCCCTGTAATTCTCTCTTTGTTGAGTAGACCCTGTAATTTGCACTATAAGTAGGCAGAGATTAATAATGTGGGTTGGACATAGTTGGCGGAACTTTGTGGAAGTGGGTGTGGTAAATTTTCAAGGTAATAATAGCTGTGCTGCAAAGTGTCCCTGGAATTTTTTTTCAAACGTTGGCAACTATGATAGCAATATGTCTTGATCAGAACAGATTTGTGCTTTATCAATTTAAAAAAAACAAAAAAACACTCCAAACCCATAAACTAATGTCTATGATAAATCTGTACATTTTTTAAATTAAATAATGAAACACCACATGGCTATGAGTCTAACAGCTAAGGAGGTTTGTTCCTGCTTTTGTTAACTCCTCCTACTTGAGTTCCTGCTTACCACTTTCTCAAACCTTTTGAATGTCGTGTAGAGTATGTATGCAAGAGCAGAAGGATAGCTTCAGAGGCTGCTCAAAGAGAATTCTCTGATTATTTATAGACTTGGGCATTCATTTTCAGATTTATATTGACCAGAGACGTAACTAGAAACCATGGAGCCCCGGTGTGACAATTGCTCTGCCCCCTCTCCCTCCAGCCCTTTAGCCCCTCCATGTTTCTCATTCACACCCCACAGGGCTAGTGTGGCATGGTTGGGTGGTTGAGTATGACAGAATTGGAGCAATTAATGAGATGGGGCGAGTGTGACAGAGTGATGGAGAAAGAGTGTGACCGGATTGGGGGGGGTGAGTGTGACCGTGTGAGAGAAGGTGAGGGTGATAGGGTGAATATGGCTGAGTGATGGGTGATGAGTACGGCATTGGTGGGTAAGTATGACAGTGCGAGAGAAGGACACACATGCTGATACACAGACACACATGCAAATGCAGACACGCAAACTAACACAAAGATACATACATACACACAGGAACACATGCAGATACACAAACACTTAAGTACAAACAATCAAATATACAGAATGACACACATACAGATACACAGGGCACACACTGACATACAGATACACATACATACAGAGACATACACGCATACATACAGACACACATACAGAGACACACACATACAGAGACATACATTCATACAAAGACACACACATACAGAAACATACATAATTCAGAGACATACACACATACATGCACACACACACATACAGAGACGCACATACACGTATAGAGACACACTCACACATACATAAGTCACCCTCCTGTTTCCTACCTTTTAGATGCAGGAGGGTGACGTCCCTGGAGTACAGTGGTGGCTCAGGCTGATGGGAGTCAGAGTTCCCTCCTCTCCTTCCTCCAACGTGGCGATGTGTGTAAGTTGGGAGGAGTGACTAAAGCTCTGATGTCATCACAGGGGGCCTGGTCATGCTGGTAAAGCGCCGGAGCGCTGACTTGGCCCATGGTAATACTTGGCCATCAGGTGACCCTAACATGCGAACCGGGCGATTCGAGGGTGCAGGCCGGGGCTGCAACACATGGCGGCACGGTCGCAGCTGCGACCCCTGGGACTGCAGTAGTTCCCCCACTGATTTTGCCCATTCGTCTATACATCCAAAAGATAAATGAATGAATAGGAATTGCAATGAATGAAACGAAGAACAAATTGCTTGTTGGATGGAATTTTGTCCGTGCAATTAGTTCTTTGTTTGTTCATTTAAGGACCTAAATGAAATGCTGCTAATGTGTTGATGTCAGGTACGACAGAACAAGTTCAGAGTTCTTGTGGAGTCCATGCCTCAACGCATTAGAGCTGTTCTGGCAGCAAGAAGGGGCCTACATGATATTAGGCTGGTTGTTTTAATGTTATAGTTGATCACTGTATCAGAAATGACATATACAATCAATCCAATAGTTATTTTCATTTTATTTAGGCCTCTTTCACACAGTTTGTTATCATTTTCACAGATTTATATATAATTTGATCAATCATTCTGTAGATTTTCAGCTTACATTTTTAAATGTACAGTTAATATTTTTGTTACAGTGTGATGAATACAAATAAAACAAGTCAAGAAATAACATGTTAAGTATAATAAAATGATTGCAGATATAATTGTTGCACATGGAGAGAACAACTGCAGCGACTAGCTAAATTATATTCTAGTCAACTGATGGGAATAATACACTTTATCTATATAACGCTTAGTTAATATACCCCTAAACACAGAGCTATAAACTTTCCTATCTCAGGGTGTTGCTCTTATTTCCTGTTTTCTTCTTCTGTATTACTAACTGCGTAGTTAGTTATCTATTTCTAGCTGCGCAAATTACTCCACCCCCATTACACCTGCAAGCTATCTTATGTTAAGATAAGATAGACAAATTGTTTTTATTGGATAATGCTCATAAGACCACCCATGTTTACTCTTGAATACACTCTGTTGTACCACCTATTAAACATCAGAAGCTCCTTGAACTTTACACTGTGTTGTCTCGCTCACAGGGATCAGAAGACAGAACAGATTCAGATAAGAGACAACTTTATCATAATGTTATATTACTTAAATTAAAAATAAGAATATATGGTAATTCACCACCAAGAACTATATGTACTAAATAGAAAGAAGATAACATTGTTTCTTATTCACCACAATTAACTGTTTAGTGAATTAAATCCCTAGTGTGGCTTATTTAAATAACTGTCATAATTTACAAGAGGCCCCTTAAACATGTTCTCTTAAGACTCACTGATTCACCTTTGTTCACAAAGTTTATTTATGTTCTCCCCAAAAAAGTTTAATGTTGAAGTCTTTCATTTTTTCCTGATAAATTCTATCAAAATATTCATTCTGAGCTACAGTGAAATGATTCTTCCAGTCTCCAGCGACTCCTTAAAGAAAATAAAGAAAAAAAAGTTAAATAAAAAAAATTAAAATTAAAATAATAATTGCAATTACTTAAAGCAACATTTCAAACTCAAAGCACCCAGCTTACCCAAGGGATTTGTAAAGGAACCTTGTTACTAGACTTGTGTATTCAGTTTCATCTAAAAGGCTACATGAACAAAATCATGAAACATACTAAACGAACAATGGACAAACTATTTTGTTTTTTTTTCTTTCGTAGCACCAATAAAAAGATGATTGATGGGAAAAAAGATAATTGATGGTTCGGGGACAGCCACTAAATATTTATTTTATTCACCGGTCAAGTAAGAAGTACTTACAAGAAGGGAAAAAAAAATTAAAAATAAATATATATATATATATAAATGTCCAACCTCTGGCACTCAACCTAATGCACATTCACAACCAGTAACATGAACCCGGGTGCTTCCCAGCAATTAAATAAACAAAACAGGAAACGGGAGCACTCACTTGGATTTCAAAAAATATATTTCAAAAAATCACCACCTCTCCATCAAGGTGGTGATTTTTTTAAATATATTTTTTGAAATCCAAGTGAGTGCTCCCGTTTCTGGTTTTGTTATATATATATATATATATATATATATATAAATATATTTCCTGGCCATATCCATGGCAGCACAACAATAGGTAGCTCCCTCCCATCCCTAGTTAGACAGGAACTAATTAAAACAAGGGTATAAGTACCCCCTCCTACCGCTCCTACTCTCAGTCATTTTGTTCCTGTCCTATCTCTAGGACAGATTAGAACTATTTTTTTATGGCTTACTTTTAGGGTTTTTACCCTTGGCCCCAGGGGAGTTAAGCCTCTCTTCCTTGGGAAGCTCCAGTACACGGCCCTGTGCAAAGGTGTCCCCCTGGAGAACCCCCCAGTGACCAGGGGAAGCTTGCAGTGACCCTAGGGGTAGCAAGCATAAGGAGCCACTACCCTACTGACTGCAGTGACCCTTGGGGTAGGAGGTATGGGCAAGGCATAAGCAGTATGGATATACCCCCTTCTTCCTTCATTTTCCTGGTTAATCCTGCCTTCTCTGATTTGGAGGCATTCCTCCTCTTGGATTCGGCAGTTCTCTGCCTGGTGTTTATTTCTCCCTTCTGGGGGAGTACAGGGCTTCCTTGGTTATCTAGGGATCCCCCTGTCCCTATTCGCGGCATTTTCGCCACATTTCTGGCAGTCTGCAGAGGTTGGGAGACCTCGGGTCTCCTTGCTGGCTTGGCGTCCGGTTTTCGCCATTGCGCCTGTGCGAACAGTGTGTTCGCGTCATGCCATTTTCGTGCATGTGCGGAAGTGCCGGTTGCGCATGCGTGGTACGTCCATGGTTCCGATGATGTCATTCAGTAGTTTGGGCGCCCTTTTTAAAGCGCCAATACTGAAATTTAACTTTCCAACACAGTCCCTTGCTAACTCTGTGGTGCAGACTGAAGGTTAGTCTTTTAAAGGCACAGTTGGTCTGTTTTTTGTTTTTTATTCAGTTGATGTTTTTTTGGGCTTAACTTTTATAGATGAATTCATCTGAGATCATGGATTCAGACTCAACAGTTGAAAGTAAAAGGTCACTATTTAAATCTCAGGGGTAAGCCATTTCCTATATCATTTTTTCTTAAATTTTTCTTCTAAACAAAAGAGTATTGGCTGATATTTTTCCCTTATTATAGTAGTACTAAAGGGAAAAAGACAACTGGAAAATCCAAAGGGAAGTCTCCCGCAAGGTCCCTATGTGAAGCATGTGACAAGAGGGCCCTGAAGGGGAAGCGCCTATGCTCAGATTGCCTACAGGCCGCAGGATGTCCCGCATCATCCACCCCGGATTCGATGCAAATTATTCAGAATTATTCAGAACCTCGTCCTCCAACTGAAAACTAAAAAGAGACTGCTACTATCATCACAACTCTCACCTATACCAAGCTCGCCGCCAGGACAACTGGAGAAATACATCTCTGATCACAGGCTTGCGCACGGAGTGTGCCGGGTGTGCCTGGGCACACCCTAATCCCCGTGGCACGCCTATGTATATTGAGACAGGCAGGGGGGATCTCAGGATCTCCCCTGTCGGCTCATGCAGAACCGGCGCTATCCGAGAGCTCTCAGCCCCCTCCCCACCGACCCACATGCAGGGAGGGAGGCAGGAGAGGACCGGCGGAGCTCTTGCCAGTAGCTCCACCGGGTTCCTCTCACGAGATATGAGCGTTGCCACAGGGGCTAGAGTTCACTCTCCACTGGACCACCAGGGATGGAAGCAACAGCAACAAAGATCCCCCCTCCCAGGCATAAGGTAAGAAGGGAGGGGGGATATCAAGTAATGTACCCCCACCTCCTCCCCCGCAATCACCCACACATACAGCACACACATACAGCACGCACTCACAGACATACAGCACCCACACACATACAGCACCCACACACATACACAGCAGCCACAGACATACACAGCAGCCACAGACATACACAGCACCCACAGACATACAGCACCCACACATATACAGCACCCTCACAAACACACACAGCACCCTTACACACAGCACACAAAAGCACCCTCACACACAGTATACAAACAGCACCCTCACACACACACACACAGCACACTAACAGTACCCTCACAAACACAAACAGGACCCTAACAAACACACACACAGCACACTACCAGTACCCTCACACACAAACAGCACCCTTACACACAGTACATTAACAGCACACTCACAAGCGCGCACACACAAACACCCTCACCCAAATAGCATACTACCAGCACTGTCACACACACATCACACACACACACACAGTAGTAAGTGTATGTGTGTATATATGTGTGTGTATATATATATATATATATATATATATATATATATATATATATATATATATATATATGTGGCATGTGCTTGTGCTTTAGGGTGCACACCCTAATGCAATAGGCTGCGCATGCCTATGCCTCTGATACAGCCAAGAATTTGGACTACGTACTATCTGAACTGAAAACCTCCACGGAACAGATAAGATTTAAAATATATATATATATATATGTATATAAGAAAGAAGGGTAGTACCAGCGCTAGTTTGAACACAATTGTCTAGTATACCCACACAAATAAGCCGCTACACACCGAGATTTTATCTTATACAATAGAAGAGAACATACAAAGTGATGGTGGAGGACTATGTAGCGGATGGCCTTGGGCTGTCCTGAGAATTTCATGTATTTTAATGTGTTCGCATAAAACAGCAAGTTCTATGTATGTAATGTATTGTATTCGTCTGAATGTTAGGTAGTTTCATTCCCTTAGTTTGTTTGAATGAAACTACCGAACAGTCAGACCTCCCCTGTGTGAAGTGTGTCCTCAATTAACCGTTGCAACATTGTTGCGAACGGGTAATTGACAAGTTAAGTAGCCGTCCTTTGTTCTCGGGTGTGGCCGCCATTCGAAAAACGAACATGTGGCGGCGGCCATTTTAAAACTCCCGAACAGCGGTGTTTTGCCGTCGAGGGTCTGGAACCCAAATCGGACACTCGACTGGGCGAACACCGCTGAAACCTCCACAAGCCCGGTCCGTTCGGTTCCTAACTACCGAACGGCCCCTCGTTCGGTAGATAGAAAGAACCGAACGAAGGGATTCAGGCGAACCCTCCCTAGCCTCTGTAGCTAGAGGTTTTCGTGCCATTAATTCCCTGACTCGAGGACCGATTTTATTTTATGTTATTTCATTTTTTTCCCTC